AAATTTCCCTCCCCCCCCCCCCCCCCCCCCCCCTTCCCCGTTCCCCCCGCCCCACCTCCTCGCTCACAATCTTTTTTGTGGAAAATTTTTTGTTGCGCCATTAGTCTAACAAATGAAACATAGTTCTGGGAATTTTTCAGTTTTGAGTAAAAGTTGTCCAATCTTTTAAGGAAAATTGAATTTTTTGATTTTACGGTCACTCTTTTTTTTTAAGGGGACGAAGAAGCAGAAACCATGGATTGGCCAAAGGATTCTGATGTTATTGTTGTGCAGCAAGTCAACAGTGAGAAAATAGCAGAAGATTCCTTACACGACTTGTTAAATCTGTAAGTGCATTAGATTTCTGAAGCTGAGGTGCAATTTTTTAATCATTACGAATGGAGTTTGTTATCGCTGGATTTTTCGGAAATTTTGGTGAATTGGTGAGATATTTGATGAAATTTTAGAACTGATAAAGAGCCTGCCAATCTCGATTACACAGTTCCAATATCTACTGTTGATCTAAGCAAGTTGGACGATGACTTTTTCGCTGGCGATTTACTAACTTCAGCCAATGAGTATGTGATTACTGAATTACATTTCGCCTGTTCACAAGTTTTGTCCGGGGACAATGGCTTTCAGAAAGCGATTTTAACTTTTTGCATTTCTGCAATTTTTTCGAAATTATTGGATTTCCAGCACCGTGCTCTCGTTGTTTCCGAAACAATGCAGCATGCTTAGCGTTGCAAACCCTCTTATGGGCCAAAAATTGTGGACGAAAATGGGACCAGATTTGTTAGGAAAGACGTTTTTTTAGCCTGTTAAGAACGCCGCCGTGAATCCAAACGTTGTTGATGAAAAAAAGGTTTGACTGAGAAATGAAAGTTTTTTTTCCCAGTAGAATCATACTCACCATCAGTTTGCTTGTAGGCAATTTTCTGAAGGGGAATCATCGACAGCCTAGCCAGCGGATGGCTGCTATTGACATTTGCTACCACTCTTGACTACTGTATATGCCACGTGGCACTAGTTTTGCTACAAAACTTTTTTAAAAAAAATCTTTTCCAAAGCACGCATTAATTTTTAGTTTAGTTAAAATTTAAACTCATAATTCATAATTTTCAGATTAATGGGGTCTGAAGCCAGCGCACAGAACCTCAATCCTGTGAGTTGTCTCTCTTCACTTACTGCTGGACCATACCTCTATTTTTTCTCCTTATATTTGTCGTCATTGTCGAGTTTGTTCAAAAAAAGCTTTTATTTGGTCTGCTTATTTAGGATCCTTGAAGACGGCGAATACATAATTCACCTTCACCTCTCCTTCCCTCCTCCTCTTGGCATTTTTTTTTTTTTTGGAAATGAGTGAAAAAAGCAAAGTATGGAATATTTATAAAACTGTAGCAGATTGATTACGAAAGATATGCTGTTCCTTTTAGTATTGCGTACTGAGGGACTAAATTTTGTATTCTTTCAGGTGTCCGCAAAAACTCAGAGATGGAAGACATCTGTATTTGAAAGAGATGGAAGGTGTATTATTTTGATATTTGATTGAAAAATTTTTGTTTTTTTAACCCTCTTCTTTGATCAAAATTATTGTTTCAAGCTACTGAAAGCGCCATCTTGATTATTCCAATCTTAATTCTAGCATAATCGTGAGTCTAATAATTTTCCAAACATGTTTTTTAATCAGTTTATATTGATAATGGGTACTGGCCGTTTTGAAGAGTTTTGTGCTATTTTGCTTACGAATTCAGGTTACTCTGATAGTTAGCACTGATAAAAATGTCTGTGCATAAGCAGCTGATGATTGGCGCACCCTTTCCTTCGTGGCCTCAAATTTTTGCTTTTTGACCAAAAAAAAGATGTTTGCGTAGACTGGAAATTTTCTAAATAGTTATGGGAGGTTCACACGCAACTTTTGCTGAATAAGACGAAAAGTAGACAAGCATAGAGCTATGTACATCAGCGTTTCTGGATGAAGAAAGAATATCACCCCCGTGAAATGTGAATCATTTTTGACGTTGTTTTTTTCCTTTCTACCCGAACAACCGCATGTATTGGTAAAATGATTTCAGAAAACGGCAGTTGGACGTTATCAAAACACGTACTCCAGTTGTGAAGTCGAAAATGCGTCGGTTTTGAATAGGAAATTGGCCGTGTTGCAGACGAGGAAGCCAGGAATGCTTTTGCAA